CTTTCTTTCTTTCTTTCTTTCTTTCTTTCTTTCTTTCTTTCTTTCTTCCTTCCTTCCTTCCTTCCTTCCTTCCTTCCTTCCTTCCTTCCTTCCTCCCTTCCTTTCTTGTTTCTTTCTTTCTTTTCCTTCTCTTTTGTCTTTCTCTTTCCTTCCTTCCTCCCTTCTCCCTCCCTCTTCTTCCTTCCTTTTTCTTTCTTTGCTTTCTCTCCTTCCTTCCTTCTTTCCCTTCCTTCCTTCCTTCCTTTCCTTTCCTTTCCTTCCTTCCTTCCTTCCTTCCTTCCTTCCTTCCTTCCTTCCTTCCTTCCTTCCTTCCTCTTTCTTTCTTTCTTTGCTTTCTTTCTTTCCTTCCTTCCTTCCTTCCTTCCTTCCTTCCTTCCTTCCTTCCTTCCTTTCTTTCTTTCCTTCTTTCTTTCTTGTTTTTTTCTTGTTTCTTTCTTTCTTTTCTATCTCTTTTATCTTTCTCTTTCCTTCCTTCCTTCTCCCTCCCTCTCCTTCCTTCCTTCCTTCCTTCCTTCCTTCCTTCCTTCCTTCCTTCCTTCCTTCCTTCTTTTTATTTTCATTTTCATTTATTTATATCCCACCTTCACTATTTTTATCAAGAAACTAACAAACATACCTAATACTCCTTCCTCCTATTCTTCCCACAACGATCCTGTGAGGTGGGCTGGGTTGAGAAAGAGAAGGACTTGCCTAAAGTTATTCACGTGGCCTCCATGCTTAAGACGGGGCTCGTCTCCTGGCGCTTGGCCCAAAGTCACCCAACCAGCTACCATGCCTACGGCGGGACTAGAACTCCCAGTCTCCTGGCGCTTGGCCCAATGTCATCCAGCCGGTTTCCAGCTCCGAGGCAGGATTAGAACTCACTGCCTCACTCACTGATGAAAATGAATATAAATAAACAAAGCAGTGGCAATCCCTGTCGGCTGAGTGGGCAACACGGTTGGGTGGGTGTCCTGCCCTATTTGGACTATTTGGAAGGTTCGGGGGTGGTGGTAAGAAAAAAACCAGAAGGGCCACTGAGGCACCGAAGAATTGGGTGGGCTAAGATGGTTTCCAGGGTGCCCCATGATTGCTCTAAACTAACCCCTCTGATTCTGTTTCCGGCCAATTATTCTGCTTCCCTGCCCGTCACGGATTCCTCACTCCTCCTCCGTAACCCAGAAGGCACCACCCGGCCTTTCCTGATTCCCATCATCCTTCCGGATTTCAAGGCCAACCACTCGGCGAAACCGGCTCAAGGTGAGCCCCGTTTTCTTACTAACGTATTTATCAAATGTATGTTGCTGCTCATGTCACTCTAAAAAGCAACTTTGGACGGCTGTCCATGAAAGATATAAAATTATTTATGTCCAGTGCCGGATCTGCCCAAAGTCCAGATTTAGGAATTGAACTCTCGGACTCTTTGGGAAATGACTCCTAATTAAGACGGTTGCAGTCAGATTCAGTTTACAATTGTATTACTAACTGCAGTGATTCACTTAACAGTTGTGACAAAAAGGTCATAAAATGGATGCAAAATTCAGTTAACAACTGTCTTGCTTAGCAACAGAAATTTTGGGCTCAACTATGGTTGTAAGCTGAGGACTCTCTGTACCACCCCAGTCAAGCGGTTGTCCTGTCTATTTTTGAAAATCGTCTTGAGTTTAGCCTTTGCTAAGAAAAACCTGGTTCATCCTCTTTGTGTCAGGATTCTGGCACAACCCCAATTAAATCATGAGTCGCGAGCCAAACTTCTAAAACTTCAAAAGGATTTATTGGGAGTTATGCTGGCACTGCCTGGGTGTAGCCAACTCTGAGGCACATCATTCATTGTCACTCTTGACCCTGGTTTCCCCCCTCCCCACCCCAACCATTGAGTGTGTCATTAATCATATTCTCCAATGGGACACATCCATAGCCAAGAGTCGTCAATCATGTTCTCCAGTTAGAATTTTGTGGTACAGAAATTTCAGTCACCTAGTTACTATCTTTGAAAACATGTATGGAATACAATTTCGGTTTGCAAGCGGCTGCACTGCTCCCCCCTCCCTTTCTGTTAGCAACTCTAAAAAAAAAACATATCAATATTTTATGAGTTGACATTTTGTAGGAATTGAGCAGGCTGATCTGGAAGGCGGGGTCAAATGTGCCATAAGTTTAGAATCGTTGCATTCCCACAGGAGAAACAAGCCCAGCCTTCCCATGAATTCTGTTGACTTATCAGGCACCAACTGGGCTTGACTGTTAGTAGAACAGATTCTTGCATAGAGGTAGCACGCAATAAACTTTTAATGCTTCGAACTCAACTCCTGTTTCTGCTTCCTTGCGCCGGACACTCCTCCCGTCCAGAATACCCGCCGTCGTGCGAACAGGAACGGCGGGAAGCCATCCACGAGGCCCACCAGCACCAGCAAGAGGGCACCTTCATCCCGGCGTGCGAAGGCGATGGCACCTACAAGGAGGTGCAGTGTCACCAAGCCACAGGCTACTGCTGGTGCGTGCGGGTGGACACCGGCCGCCCCATCCCAGGGACCTCCACCCGGTCAGTGCCATACCTGTCTTGAACCCAGAGTTTGAATCTGATTGCGCCCCTTTCTTCTCCCCCATGTTCAGTGCCCCCCCTCTCCTTTAGCATAAAGCAGGGGTCTCCAAACATGGCAACTTGGTGGACTTCAACTCCCAGAATTCCTCAGCCAGCATGAGGAACTCTGGGAATTGCAGTCCCAACACACCCGATAGCCCCAAAGCTGGTCAGAAGCAGACTTGTCCAGGAAAGATTGGGAGAGACCCAGATCTGGACCTGATCTGGACTGCAAGTTTCTTTCCATTCCATTCCAGTATGCTACTGGTTTGGACTGGTTCACCTGAATCGGTAGTAAAAAAAAAAAAGCTCCGACGATCAGCTGAGAGAAGAAAGAAGAGAAAAGTGCAGGATTGGCCCTCCCACCTGCCAATCCTCCCACCCACCAATCCCTCCCATTGGCCCTCCCCCCTGCGCTTTCCTCTTCTTTCTCCTCTCAGCTGATTGGCGCTGCAGAGCCTCGGCTGGCGTGGGGAAAGGTGCGCGCGTGCGTTAGGCAAGCCACGCCCACCAAGCCACGCCCACCAAGCCACGCCCACCGAACTGGCGGTAGAACCATTTGAATCCCGCCACTAGTTCTTAACGTCACCCGCTTAACAAAAGGGAGAGCTCCCCTGGAAAAGAGATTTACCACCCCACAAATCAATTTTAATCTTAATTTCTCTGCGTCGTTTTTCCCCAGAAACTTTCCCCCGGACTGCGAAGCTGATACATCAACCAAGAGCACGGAAATAGGGCCCTTGTTCCGAGATCGGATCCTGCCAGGTAAGTCAGAGCTGCTTCCCTGCCTTGAAAAACAACAAGGAGGAAACACGGTTGTGTGTTGAGTCCCTTACTCTCTACTCTTTACGTGCGTGCCTGCATTCCCACTCAGGCTAGTAATACTATTACTAAATTTGCAGAGGATACAACAGTGGTGGGACTCATCTCGGGTGTGTGTGTGTGTGTGGATGAGTCTGCCTAGCGAGATGAGGTGGACCAACGGTTGCTTTTGTGGTGTGGAGACCATAACTTGGTCCTCAACACCAATAAGACCAAGGAGCTGATAGTGGACTCTAGAAGGAACAGATCAGACCTCCAGCCCTGGCTTCTCAGTGGAGACCGAGGGGAGCAAGTGGCCAGTTTTAAGTTTCTGGGTGTCACCCTAAAAGAGGACCTGACCTGGGGGGCTCACATTGCAGCCCTGGTCAAAAGGACCCAGCAGAGATTAGACTACCTGAGACTTCTCAGAAAACAACAGACGGATGAAAAACTGCTGGTGACCTTCTACCGCTGCACCATAGAGAGTATCTTATTACACACCTGTGTAGGGTTTGCCACTTGCACAGGGGCAGATAGGACAGCACTCCAGAGGGTGAACGTCATTGCCCAGAGGATCCTGGGTTGTCCTCTCCCCTCTTTGGAAGAACTTAAAGCTTCCGCTGCCTTAAGAAAGTTCAAAACGTCCTCAAAGATCCATCTCATCCTGGGAACCCCCTTTTTTTGAACTATTACCATCTGGCAGACGGTACAGGACAATAATAAAAACAAGGACAAATAGGCTGAAAAACAGCTTCTATCCCAGGGCAGTAACTCTATTGAATTCTACTGTATAGTGTAATATTAATGCAATATCAGGGGTTTTCAATTCAATGTATAGAATGCGAAGGAGGTGTGTTTGTGTTTATTTTCACAGTCATAATATACACTGGAGATGGCATTTAATTTCATTGTACAATGTGCAATGACAATAAAGTAAATTAAACTAAACTAAACGTTTATTTTCAACAAGGGTTTTCAGCCGCTTTCTGTTGGAAAGGTTCCTGTCTTTTGATTTTTCCAACTAGGTTGTCCCGGGTCAAAGAAAACTCAATTCCTTACCCAACTGATCAAAGCATTGAGTTCCCACATGCTCCAATCAAGGCTGATGACCATTCCATACCGCAGGTAAATATGGCTCGCCCCTGGCGAAAAAGGAAGCGCGTTCGGTCTGTGAACCGCACGATCAAAGATATTATGCAGAGTTGTGTTTCTCGACTTTAAGGTCTCTGGATTTCAACTTCCGCGGTTCTCTAGCTGGCATTTTGAACTTGAAGATGGGTGGACTTCAGCGTGGTGGCGAGGGGATTCTGGGATTTGGAGTCCACACCCCTTAAAAGCTGCCAAGATCAAGAAACGGGGAGTTGGGCTGCAGGCGTTGGGTGACGGGAGGGCCCTACGCCAAACTCCCAAGTTTTGGAACATGGTTAATTTGGTTAATTTTAGAGATTTTGCCAAGAGCGTTTGCCCAGTTGGCATATAGGAACCCTGTAGACAGATAAATTATTATCTGGAGGGTCCTGGAGACCCAGACTGACACAGCTAGCCAGAGTTGGGGGAGAGAGAGAGGTAGAGGGGGAAGAAAGAGAGAGAGAGAGAAAGACAGAGAGGGAAGGGAAGGGAGAGAGGAAGGGAAAGGAACATGAGAGAGGGAGGGAGGGAGAGAAAAAGAGGGAAGAGACAGGCAGGGAG